AGCCCACAGCCCTCAGCAGGGGACCAACGCGAAGGGCCAAAAGGCAGAGAAGAACGAGCACAGGCTCAGGGGCTGGGGCTCCCTCCACTTCCCTGGACAAATGGAATCCGCATTTGATTCAAGACAGAAAACTGTATAAAGATTCATAGTTTAATGTTTCACATGCAGATCTAAAACAGACAGAAAGGGAAAACAACTGTAAAGAAAAAGACAAAACAAAGACTGTGCAGGTGTCAGTGCACGCTACGGCCCTGGCAAATACAGTAACTGCAGGGCACTTCAAGGAGTTTTCCAATACCTGGAAGCAATAAGCTAGCAGCAGGTATCTCTAACCTGCCAATTCTTCCTAGGAAAACTTCCCAGGAAAAAAATAAAAAAGGCGATGTGAATGTGCACTTGCAGATCAAGCCTGAAACAAATATCTTAGAGCACTGAAATATCTGCAAATAAATTATAAGGCATAAGTAGAGTATACCTGCAGGCAGGTATCTTGAAGTCTAGAATTTGCCTACAGGAAAATTCTGGGGCTGCAGAAGAATAATTCTTTAAGAGCAGAGAAAGGATTCACTTCATCCTGAATCTTAAGGCTACCTTGAAAACCGTGCAGAAAAGTGCAAGAGGCCGTGTTTTTTCCTAGGAGACACTGCCTTTCATTCCTCCTCACCTGTCTTCCTCCTGGAGCATTTGTTAAAGGCTAAAAGACTAGCTGCTAGGCAGGAAAGCCTCCCTTGCCCCTTTCGTATGGATCAAGGTGTTTGGGGTTGGACAGCCGTTGCAGCATGAACAATAACAACAATAGCGATCTTTTTTAAAGTTTAAGCTTCATAAAGTTAGAATCAACTTTTTGTTGTGCATTTGCACACAGCTCGAGGTGAGAGTTACCACGCTGCAAAGGGAAGCCAGCAGCAACTCCTTGCCACTAGCAGTGCAGACACGTTTGGCAGGACAGTGTGTTTTCACTTGGGGCTCTGCCTCCTCTCACAAACTCCCACCTGAGCTACTTGAGCTCCCTGCTCCAGGTCCGTCCCGAGTGAAGTCATCAGGCTGAAGAACCAAGACCTCGGGTACTGCTCAGAAGGAAAAGAAGGATGCAGAGCCATTTTCAGGGTCGCTGTCTCAGAAAGCTGCAGTCACCATTCCCTCTCCTGTAAGTATTTTATTTAGAGCTCTGCACAGAGAAAACTTTGATCATCTTTGCAGAGATCAGTTTGTTAAAAA